CAAACTAAAATAATAATAACCATTACAGGATGTATAAAAACACCTTTGCCACCAAACAATGTATGGTAACGTATGTGTAAATGACCACACATTAAATATAAACAGAGTAGCATAACTGCTTTTTTTTTATTCTTGTCAAACACAGAAAAGACAGAAACTTTGAGAACTTTGTGTACTGTACGTGTGATGTCCATACACTGTACGAATGTGTGTGTGAGTGGGTGAATGGCAATAAACTTTACTGTAAAGTTAGTGGTCCTCAAGAATAAAAAGGCGCAACATAAATACTGACCATTTACCATTTACTTTGACATTTTACTTTGGTCCATGTTCCATCCACAACAGGGAGGAGGTAAGATTTATGACCTATACTGCAGCCAACCACCAGGGGGGCAAACAAGACACTTTGGTTTCACTTTGGGGAAGCCTTCATTTCATCCATCTCTACAAACAATCAATGGGACTGACAGAATGATACTGCAAACACATTGCTAACATAGCTGAGAAGTATACTGATCTACAGATGGAGCTTTTGAATAACCACACGTTTACATCCATTTACAGAAGAAATACACAGTTGCAATTGTCAATAAAATGGTGCTCTTTGCTAATGGCGTGCTAAAGCTTACACACACACACCCAAGGGCCACTGGCAGCGAGCAGAGCCTTTGAACTTCCTTGCTTGGCTCATTTCTGGTATTTACCCGCCAGTGGCTCCGAAAACCCATCTGGACCAAAGTGTGCGACTGTAGCACACATGCTACGGCTGTAACGCAGACCTCCCGGTGTGAGTTGACTGCCAAGAATCATCCAATCAAATTTTTTACAGCCTGAGTAAAAAAGAAGAAAGGGATGCAGCACAATTGCTTCAGCTCTCGCTGAGTGGCGGTGGTGGGACTGGAGTGTTTTAGTCCTTCAGCAACGATTAACTGTGTGTGTCAAAAATCCAGGCGATCACCACAGCTCGGATAAACCCCAGCCTCCAACGTCACAAAGGGGAAGACGAGCACCTGCACTACTGGATGAGAGATTAATGGTGTGCCAGCTTTACCCCATCAGAGCTTTAAACTCAGCTTAATTGCATTTCTCTGCCTCATTGTTTTCTTTTTTGTGACTCATCTACCCGCCATTATTCTCTCGTGAACATGCCAAACATAGCGCGGAGAAGTCACAACAATAAAACAGGTAATGTGCATCAAGCCAGCATGAATCGTTGTGTATGACTTCCTCTGTGTGTGTGGGGGGGCAAACTATTTCTCGAGGCAAGACGGCATGCGGTGATTGGATTGTTTTGCTTCACTTCCTCTTTTTTCGTGGGAGGAGACAGAATGATATCGCACCACAGCACCTACACTGCACGGACATGAGACAATCTCCCACCACAGCACTCTGCCTGTCTAATGGCTAAACACACCATGTTCACCTTTGTCTGACTGCCTACACAGCTAACTTAATAGTTTAGAAACAGATAAGGCTATATAAGTAAATGTATTTTAACCCTAACCTTCCGTACATTTCAGATACGTCCCACTCATATAAATAATTCAGCTGACAGGGGCTCAGGCCTTTGGGATGGAGCAGCCAGTGTTTTCCCAAGCGGCCGAGCATATTTGCGGCCATCTGCCTCTCTCTGCGAGCAGCGCCTCCACGCTGCGCCAAGCTACCCACCCACTGAGTCCAGAGGCCATGGGCGCTCTGCCCTCAAAGAACCATAGCACCTCTCTAACGTGTGACCTCTTTGACATCTTCAGGCTGTGACTGGAACTGAGGTGAAATTAAGTAACTACATCAATTAAACGTGAAAGTGTGATTTCTAAAGTTTCTTTTCGTCTGCACAAGCTGAAGTTGAACTCAACTGCTGACTTGAATTTGTAGGAAAAAGTAGTTTAAAGTAGATAGAAGAGTTGGAAATGGTAAAAGAAAAGAGAAGAGAGATGTAGTGTAAGTAGTGCATGGAGTCAAATAGGGGTGAGGAATATTTTGAGATTAGAAGACATAATAACTTTAAAGATTCATGAAGGAAGGTTAGGGAAGTATTAAAGAAAATATAAAATCATAATAATATCATAATATTTTAGGCACAATGTGGGATGTAGCTCAGTGGTAGAGCACAAGCTTTGCATGTATAAGGCTTGGGTTCGATCTCTGGCATCTCTAGCAGTCTTTATCCAGAATTTCCTCCATGGGGATCAATAAAGAATTAGTTTCTCTATTAATAAAGTCGTTAATCAGAAGAAAGTCATTATTATTATCTTATTTAATTTGTAATATTAGTCATAATATATTGAGAAAAAGAAAAAAGATCTGGAAAGGAGAAACTGTGTCACTGGAGTTCTCTCCTTCTGGATCAGATTTTTTCTGTGAAAGTGACCCCAGTACTCTGTCGTAATACGTCACCTTCTGTATATGTGAGTAGTAGAAGAATAATAAGTATAATAATCAAGGAAATTGTGACAAGTAGACCAAGATATAGTGAGTTTGTATTTGTGCAGCAATCCCAGTAATCAAACATCACAAAGAAATACAGTGGCTCAACTGATCATTTCTTTCTATCTGAAAAATACTTCTACATATCTGCATTGTATCCTCAGCTTTCTCCATCAAAAGCTTTGAATGAACAAAATGTTCAAAGCGGCGAGTGCAGATATATGCCGTCACTCTCAGAATCATCTGTCTGTTGTCACTTCGTATGACTAAAACATGAAATGATGAATATTCCCTGCGGCGGCAGCCTGACAAGCAACAACGAGCCTGGTAAACGTATGGCCTCCAAGCATCTGTAGCATTACATAATGAAGATTGCACTGTGAAATCCATGAAGAAATCCATGAAGAATCCTAGTAATACACCCAGCCACAGTGTGTTCTCTGTGTGCGGCAGCGTTTTACAATACACGGAGGATAATGACAATGCTGCATTAATAATGAATGTATTACCAAGCACAGCATAAAACGCACCCGGATGCATCATCCAAATATTTCTGGACAGTTATGTGACATCTGACATGAAATCTAAGATTCAGAGAGAGATTTCTCTTGTGACTGTTCTAGCTCTAATTTGATTATGGATTATCATTCCTGGATTCCCGGCAGAGATTTTAAGTGAGTCTCACAGCCTCCCTAACAGGGGCAGTATATATTGTACAATAGACCAGTGAATTGTTGCTGTCGATGCACATCCGCTTCCCTTTGTGCTGCCAACTGCTGACGTGTGACACTCTGTTCATCGCACACAATCCGAGTCAGACGCGGCGCAAGAGATTTCTCATGTCTCTAAGTACAAAGGAGGTCGTGACAGTTCCTCCACGTGAGCTGCAGATTGGAGGTGTCTTTAACAAAGATGGAGGTAGGAATTCTGCAGCATGTCACAGTACACGGTGACAACACTCATAAAAAGGCAGATTTAGAAACTGAAGCTGCCACTGTCAGCAATTATTTCACATCCTTATTGCCCCCCCCCACTAATGTGTTTACATAGCTGTATGAACACGCAATCATCATGAGCGGGATGAAACAACAGATTTGGGACAGTGGGACAGGATCTGTCAACTGCTGCCGCACTTTTTACCATAATCAAGACGGCAGGCTCAGCGGCAGCAGTGGATCCCGTGGTTTAAATCTGATCAAAGGAAGCTTTTTCTTTTCTTTTTTTTGTCTTTTGAGTGGGCTGTCACAGCGCTGCAGCAGAAATAACAAGCTATTCGTCGGCCGAGGAGTAATAACCACCCACTCATTGGCTGTTCCCAATCCAAACCCTGGAGAATAAGCCACTTCCTCCCTAACCCAACATCCACATAATTAGCCAGCAATGCTGCTCGACCTCTCCAATCAAATAGCAGCCATTGAAAGTGAGGTTCCATGGGGACAAGGTAATTACCCTTGACACTGAAAGGACCCCTTGCTGATGGGATATAGAGCTTATTAAGTCATTGGAGGGAAGAAGTTTGCCAGAGTTGTGATGGATATAGTGGGTGGAACAGGGGCGTTGCAACAGGGCAGGCAGATCAGACAATTGCCTGGGGCCCATGAGCTGAGAAAGGGTGGCTCATACAATTTTGTGATAACCCCCCTTAAATTCTATTGCCTCTTTTCAACTGGTCAAAAAAAAAAGACCAACACCCATTCACATCTGGCTTTTGTTTTTAATGGTATTAGATAAAATCAGCATTCACTCCCAGGTGAAATGACTCTGCAGTAGACTCAGGTTTTTAGCAGCTCCGGCTCTGATCGGCAGTGATGGAAACCTAACACCCGGAGGAATGCACCAATTTCTTCTTCTTCCTTATTTTGGCAGTCTGGATGCTGGCTCTGCACCAGCGCAACATTGTGACGAGCATTGTACTTCTAAACCATCTAAAATCTGTCAGTTAACATTGAGTTTAAAAAGAGTTAATGATATAAAAGTGTAACCACCGTAACATTGTCACTGGTGTCCATGGTGCTTTTGTCAAACATGACACAACAAACACAAAGGCAAGGTCATACGCCAATCTTAAGCAGATTTACCCACCACAAAAAATGTTGTGTACTCGTTAATTTTGGTATAAAGTAGGTCTATGATGTGTACAGTGACACCATGATAAGAAAAAACCCACAACGAGGCCCCATTTTACTAGGTTCCTGGCAAAAGCATTGTTCTTTTAGAAGTTTGGTAGTGGAATGTTGACATTAGTGCGTGTGTGTGTGATGTGCCTGGGATATTTGTGGGGGTTTGCACTAACTTTCATATTATTATGTGTATTACACAGTTGTTTGGTATCGTGTCTTTCTTCTGAGGTGGTCCCTTTTTGTCCCAGACCCCCAAAGTTCCTTGTGATGCTCCTGTGTAGGAAGAGGTAAAGTAGATGTTTGAAACATTTGAGTTCAACATGTGTGTGAGATACACACTGATGTAGACCAGTGAACTGTCATCAGCCTGTCTGGAGTTCACTGCTCCTCAGCAAGTGTTTCTGCAGCCCCTTCACATATCTTAAAAACTGCAGCGCACAGATTGAGCCTTACCTTTCTGTAGACGATCATATTGGGGGAGTCCTCCTCAGGATCATTGTTTCCTGCGCCTCCCTGGTCTCTGGATCCCTCGGCCATTGTTTCACTCGGTCCTGTCAAAGAAACGGATGCAGCACGTGAACACAGCACCCAACATCCGCAGGATAGTGGGAGGACACAAAATGACAATTTGATAAACATCAGTCAGCTTTATTAATCTTTTATCTCCTGGCAGCCAAAGAATCCTCCAGCCCTTTAACGTTGTAACATTCAGCTGCTCAAATGTACGCTGCTGTCTCGGAGAGGAGGCTCCTGCCACACGGGGAAAAATAAGAGAACACAAGTACACACTGATGGATTTTGAATAATAACAAAGCTATGATGTTAAATCATTAATATAAAATACAAAGTGAAAATGTGTATATATGTAGAACAGTATTTGTGGTTATTGAGTGTTAAACCTATTTGGCATGATCAGGGGTTGACCATAATGACAGTGATACTTTTTGTGGTGTTTTGGGTCTAGAGGACAATTTGGTTCATCATTATAAACACATGCTGCAGGTAATGTGCAGAATCTGGTCTCCGTGACCAATCACCAATCACCTTTCAGCAGGATAGGGTTTGTGTGCTAAAACCTTTAACTTGTGATAAAAGAAACTCGTTGGACTGTAAGCGTGTAAGACAAACTGAAGACAGTCTTGGCCTGGATATCTGCTGTCTACACAAGAAGTCCCCCAAAATATTGTTTGTTGCCCATGAGGCAAATTCGTCATCATACAATAAACGATAAACTGTAGAATTGGCGTGTGTCAAGGTCAGTGCATCTAGCTAGCACACAATGTTTTATTATAGTGTATAGGGGGACAGATGCAACAACTTATTAAGAAGCTATATAAAAATAAAAACCCAGAAATATTTTTAAAGTTTCAGTTTCACACGATTAATATGTAAATAGAGAAAACATACTGTACCATTCTATATTTCTCACACTTGTTTAGCATCTGTATCATCTGCACATGACTCAAAGTAACCGCTCCATAAATGTTAGATGATAAATATTAACAAATAGATAATACTATTGTTGTAACTGTTACTGTTCGAATTGAGCCAAAAGCAAATATGTTGCAAAATCTGACTCAAACAAACATTGTGAATTATAAGTCATATTCCAATGGATGATTAGAGAACTGGTGTAAGTTGAATACACAGAAGTATGGTTGGTCTTGTCCAAATAGTCTTCGGGTAACTGAGAGGAATGCAAAATGTTTTGCAACTGTCCCCACTCTTCCTACATTGTCTATATTGTTTTGTGTATTGTCTCTAAGAGTGTCACCATTGGCCTGAACCAAATTCTGATCAGACAAAAAAAAAGTGGGGAACCACTGCAGTGAAGATGATGAGTCATGTTTCGTCAGATAAAAAAGACAGATGTTGAAAATGAATGAAACCTCAGTGAGTTGATGCTTATGGTTTAACCGTGCTTGACTCCATTAACTGCAATCATGCGATGGCTACCTCAGATCTGCCTGCACTCCCCACAAACCCCCCCACCCACCCCCCACCCCTCAGGCTCACACAAGAGCTGCTGTTAAAGGATTTATTTACAACCTCCACGCAGTCCTCATCACTGTCTCTCCACTCCCCCCCTGCATGTGTAGTAAATGGGTTAAAGCTTTTGTTAGTCTTATTATTCGTGAAGAGGAGAGAGGAGTGGGGGGGGGGATTACACAGTTCAACACATTCATAATTTTTTGGTACTCATGAAAGACAAAGTGCGAGAGGATAAAGCGACCAGGAAAAATAATAATAATAATCACATGGCTTGCTGGGTCTCACTGTTCACTGCAACAGCTTTTAGTGTTTTTGCAAAAAGAGCCGTGATGAGCTATTGAGGGGAGAGAGAGGATGCAGACAGCCTCTCATGACAGACACACATGAGCAGGAACAATATGAAATCTTCATACATTGACTGAATAGGTAGCACTGCATGTTGCCCAGGGCCGAACGCCGGCAATGCATCAGGAGAAGTTGAACTGCAGCCGTGCTACAAGTTTGAGCAACTGCAGATCAGAGAGGAACATTAAAATAGAGCTAAAAGTAAGCGTGACGCCCGCTTGCACAACATGCAAGGTGGCTTCTTCACTTCAATCTATGACACCGCAGAGCATGGTGATGCACATGAGTGAATAAGTAATCATCCGCTCTCGCCTCACTGTTTGTTATTGCCACCAGAAGTGCAGAGTGCAGCACTCCCCATCGGCTGATATGTCTGGGCCCTTTTTAGAGCCTGAGCACATTAGACAGATAATCTTTGCACATGCTTCAAGGATCATATAGAGAGAGGCAGGAGACTATGGATTGCATAGCACCTGCTTAAAGAAAACAGTAGAGGGCCAGTAGGTCTCGCCATGGACAGGAAGCTGTAATTCCACGCAACTGCTTCCTCCCAAATTGAGCTGCTGAAGCACGCAAATGAAAGTACACACACAAGGCCCATGCAAGATGTCAAAGTGAACCGGTGAGGATACGGACACTGACAGCTGCTGAAAGGCGGCCAGAGAGCAGCAACATGCCCTGATATACAGTACATCCCTGTGTCCCTGCACATGCACACTGCACATGCCAATTCATGAGGTGGTTGCACAAATACACACACACACACTCACAGGGCAGAATCCCCTGCAATGGCCCAAATAAACAAACCCCACAAGCGTCCATTCAACTGCAACAAACTGGCAAAGAGTTCACACACACACAAACACACACACACACACACACACACACACACACACAAACATGCACAGAGCAAAGCCGTGCTCCAGATCCACCCGAGAACCACACTGACACTGTGGATCCCAGAGCCCTGTACTCACTCTCAGCAGGCGAGCAGCCCGGTGCAAAGCAACATCTGTGACACCTGACAGTTGCCATAACTGAAGCCTTCATTACCTTAGAAACAAAATAACGCCTGGTCCACTCTGCTCCCCCGGCTGGCTCCCCCTTAGCAACAAGCAGCAGGCAGGTTCATGGTATAATTGGCAGGAGGGGAGAGAGAGAGTGAGGAGGGGATGAAGAAGACGGGGGATGAAAGCAGTGAAGCAGCAAGAGAGAGAGAGTGAGAAAGTCTGGCCGGTCACTGCAGTATTCCTCTATTCCTCCTCCTCCTCCTCTTCTTTTTCTCTCTTCACAAGTCCTGCCTTGCCCCGGCAGTTCAGGAGATCCTCACATGTGCGCACCTCCTCGTTCATCCCCCCTCTCCCTCTGTCTGCATGTGCTCCAGTCTGAGGGAGAGCAAAAGAGTGGAGAGAGGGAGAGAGAGGGAGAGAGAGGGAGGGGGAGAGAGAGAGAGAGAGAGAGGGAGGGATGATGTGCAATAGAGGGGGGTAGATCAAGTTGTGAAAGGAGGTGGGATGAAGGAACTAGAGAGAATATAAAGAGGAAAACAGAGGGAGGAGAAAGACAGGCACAGAGGGTGTGTGTTTTTGTGTGTGTGTGTGTGTGTGTGTGTGTGTGTGTGTGTGTGTGTGTGTGTATGTGTGTGAGAGAGAGAGAGAGATAGAGAGAGCAGTGAATGCACAGTGGAGAGGAAAGGAGGACAGAGGGAGATGCACACTGCAGCAGCGCCCACTGATGCTGAAAATAAGAAACATTTCATTAGACGGATATTGAAATGCTAATTTAAAAACAAGTTAGTGTTACTGAGCACACACATGCACACTATAAATAAATATTCCAGAGCTGCCTCAGAGAAAACACTTTTTCAAGTTCCCATTCAAAGCTCCATGTGCAAGCAGCTTGTTTTCTTAAGCAGCCTCTGATCACAAGTTAGACAATTTCCCCACGACTTGTGTTTGTGTTTCTGGAGCTGATATCTTTTCATGTGGCCATTAAATCCATCTCTGTGCTCGGGGACGGCAGCCATGCTCTCATGTTTCTTCCACTCTTGCATGTGTGTTCTCCTCCTTCCTTGTTCCCTCTCTCTCGGAAAACTCTGGACTCACTCAAGCTTAAATGGCAACACAGACGAATGAACCTTTTTTTTTCTGCAGTAAATGAGATCCCAAAAGCCCCCGAGGAAGATACTCCATAAATACATGGCATGGCCAATTTGTGAATGCATGCATGCAGCATGAACACACACTGCACACAGCCTCACACACACACACACACAGACAGATGTTTGTGTTGACAGAACCAGTTCACCAGTCGTCAAAGTACACTGTGCGTTCTTTTCTTCAAGCAGTGCATGTGTTGTTATCTTTGCGGAGGTCCAGGCTCTGTAAACCCCCCATTTACACAGCTTTTGAAAATATCTGAGGCGATTCAAATATTCTTCACACACACAGAAAAGACCTTGAAAGCTCTTTTTTTTAAATCAAGCTGCGAAAGCCCAATTCTCACTAATAAAAGAACAAAATGTTGGCTTTTTTTTTCTTCTTCAGGCAAAAGACAGATTTCAATTTGAGCGACTCAAAACTGCTGTTCTCGGTAAATGTGGTAACCAAGGGAAACCGAGGTCACGGTTGGCGGTGGCGTGCCTATTAGAGTGTGAAACCATTCGGCGGCCCACGGTGCTTACTCCACACATTTCTCTCTTCTTTCAGCTGGAAAAGAGCAGGCCTTATATTACGTGCCCCCATCCCCCGATTATCAGAGCTCTGCTATCACAACTATACATCTACCTCTGTATGCATCCACCATAAAGCAATATGATATCACTACCCCTCTCCCCCCCGGTTACAACCACACACGACCCACAGTGACAGTCGTGAACTGTGATCAGCATATCTTCCTGTCCCATGAGCTGCTCTGGCATTAAGGAGGGCCGTCATTAACAAGGTGACAGGCAGACAGACAGGACTTCTCTAATCTGCTTTAAGGGGTCCAGCCAAGCTATAATCTGCATTAATGCTACATTATTGAACAGCCTGTTGAAGAGCCACACCACCGGCCACACAGACAGACAGACAGACAGACAGACAGAGATCCTGCTGCATGCATGCAAAGGAATTGAAGAGGCCTCATTATGAATAGAACAAACACATGCAGTGAGGCTGATGTTGCATCTGAGCATGTGTAGATGCACTGGAGATTATTTCAATTCATGATCTTTCAAGTCTGCTTAACGAGCACAAGCCCAACGTGTGTGATGAAAGATGTATCGGTTGCACTGACGTTCCTCATTCTCTCGCCATTGGCTGTCCTTATGCCATCCTGATGCAACTCCAATATGGGAGATGGGGCAGGTCACGTTTGTTCAGGGGTTCAGCTGAAGCTAATGTGCTTCCACAGTTGTATTGGTATTGAAACACAATCTGCGCTGTACAGATTCAAAATATTAAGCTTTTTGTTTCCAAAGATGTGAAATGTGTTGCTATAAAGTCACGACATGCAAACATACTGAGGGACTGTCACTGTGAGGACCTTTTAAGTTAAAAAGTGAGTTTTTACAATCAATATAAAGAGACGGTTCTATTGTTGTGTTACGCTACCTTTTTTTTCTTTTTTTTTAAATTGCCAATGATCCTACACATTCCTAATTAAATTCAAGTTAAATTCCAGCTCAGTGGACTGAACCAAATGGCACAGATGCTTCTCAATGGATGATCTGACAATAGAATATCTATAATTTACATGTGTAAACAGATATATTCTATAACAAAATGTGCAGATCAACATACAAGTAGTTGAATTAAATCGGTATATTGCAGTGACACTTTTAGTAGTCACAAATTCCTGTTTGGCAAAGAAAGTGCAAAAAAAAATTATTATCCTGGATCCGCAACAAAATTTGTTTCTTCCTCGTCCTGCCAACAAACCAATAAACAAACAAACAGACAAAAACATAACGCTCTCTGCGGAGGTGATAAAACTACAGATGTGTCTTTAGGTCCCTTTAGGATCGAGGCGGTGGTGTTGGTGCAACATTTCACCATCATGGCAGGTTTTAAAATTTGTCCAGTACTTTAATGACCCATTAGCATAGCATTACTTTGTGTTGAGTGCAAACTAGAAAATGTTGCAGGCTAAAACCCTGAGCTGAGATTGTGAGTGTGCTCCATATTAAATGTTAAATCACATTTGCACTTAGCACTGACGTTAGCTCATAGCACCTCTGTGCCAAACTACAGCCTCCATAGACCTTTTTACTTGCTCTTCATCCTCCGCTGCAGTTCATCAGGGAAACAACGGAGAAAAACTGAAGAGAGAAAAGTTATTTTTAAAAACATTCCAATCAAGAAATTCACTCATTTTCATCAGACTGCAGCCTCATTAGCTTCAACTTGAGAAATGTATTTTTGCTCAGAACTAGAATATAGATGGATTTGTCTCTTCCACTGGAGGTACATTAGAAAGAGATCACTACATGGCCAATATGGACATGAGTTTATACCACACAACAACGTGCATGTGCCAACATTCATAACACTGGCCCCTACGCTCTAAATCAGGGCATAGGTGCCAGGGGGTCCACAGTCCCCCATTCCCCCACTGCTGTAAAGGAATTGATGAAATAGCGTTGCACAAAATGATGGTGAAATCCAGAAAGAAATCCCACTGCACTCACTTGGATCTACTCTTTTATCAAATGACTCTCACAGCCACCTCAGCTGGCCCCAAGCAGCTTTAATACTTATATTACTTTCCTGTTTTTCTCGTTTTGTCTTTGTTATTGACAGCACCGCACACTGAGGCCACTCGGAGAGGCAAGGTGTAATTCAACAAAATATCTTTAATAGATATAAACATTTGTACACATCACAGCTCAATGGAAACAGAATTACATGCTGTCACACATGTTAAGAATAAAGGTGCAGGGAGGTTCTGCTGTGCTAGAGGCCCAAGACTCTTCTCCTCCGAGTCAGGCTCCCTCGTCTTTTCCCCTGTTTATCATTTTCATGTAGCTCCCGTCACGCTCCACAAAATCCAAGCCAATAAAGCAGAAATACATCAAAAATAATAATCTTGGTGCAAATTCTGATGAATATCAAATTCTCCTTATATACAGTTGCACAGTATCCGAGTACAAAAGGAAACAGTTACAGTATGAGGTTTAAATAAGGACTTTCTCTGGTCATAAATCCAGACTGGGCTTACAAGCAGATTCACGCACTACAGAAACCTGTAGCTGGAATTTCAGGATTCAAGCAACATCTTATTTACTTACTGAACCGTACCGATTTTAATCTACTGAGAGAGAGTTAGGGATCAGATTGAGGCCTTTTAGCATGCGATGGATGGAGGAGGGGGGGTAATTCCATGTAGCATTTTACATGTTGTCAGCTCTATTGCACTGCAGCAGGCAAGGCTGGAAATAAACTGTGAGGACATAAATATAACTCTTATTTTGGATCATATTTTTTATTTATTCTTGTTTTGGCTTAAATGGTATATATTCTCTCAAACTATTAGAAGAACATGCAGAACTGACTGCATGTGACTGTTTTTCTTTAATTGGCCATTTGAATCATAAATACTCTTTACATACAGTCTCATATCGAGGGAAGGAGTTAGAAAATAAGTGTAAACATCATATATTTACAAAACTCTGAATAAGTGACACTGAACTGTAAATTTCTCCATTTAAGGATGGCACCCATATTTTTCAGTTTTACAATATACGTTTTCATCAGCTTGTGACCAGTAGTCCTGTACAAGTTCAACTTGCTTTTAACCCTCGAGAAATCATACATGTGATACACTTGTACAATCTTGTTATATAGGTAAAACAGACAGGCACTTGACCTTACAGTGTTTACGTTATGTGCTATGCAAAGAGTCTCTCTGTCTGCTTCTACCTACCCACACTGCTACCGTTAAAGCATCTCGTATAGCTTCTCTTCTTTTGGTTAGTAATGAAATTAAAAAAAAATCATCAGTGCTGTGACCACTGAAATGTGAAAATTGGAGGATGTCTAAACAGCGATTCATTTACAACACATGGTCATGTAATTCTTAGAAAGTGTCAACCTCTATCAGGGGAAGATGGGGCCATTTTCAGCAACGCGTGCATGAGTGGAACAAATTTCAAACTGCGTTGGAGCTTTTTAATTGGTAATCTGTTCACTTGTAATTAGCTGCGCAGCTAAACAGGGACAGTGACTTTAAATCCCTTTAGGTTAGTTTCAACATCTTGCTCTCTCTGGCATGCAGGGAAACCAACAATCCATTAGATCGGACACAAAGCGTCATATAAAGTTTTGTGAAATCTTAAGGAAAGGGGCGCATGCTGATCAAAACTGTTACACAGTCGGACCACAGC